AGCAAGCCAATCCACTTTTCCATGTTGATAAGAGCATTAAAATGAGAAAAAAAAATTATTTTAATCGTCTGACAGCACTAATATATATATATATATATATATATATATATATATATATATATATATATATATATATATATTGGATATTAGCTATTAATACCTGCTTTGCTGAATCACCGCAGTGAATTTATTTTTTAATTTACCAAAACAACATATTTGAAAAGGTAAAATAATAATGCTGCCATTGTTTGGAAGCATTATTCAGGAAAATTATGCCTATGGTCATCATGGTACATTATAATTCTGCAAAACTACATTTTGGAGCAGAGAGATTAGGTATACAAATTGTCCAAGAACTTCCAAAGACAATTTTGTGTAGGCTCCCAGCATAAGGACTTAGACAAGTTTGCTTAAAGTATAAAGATCTTGATGTAGTGCCATACGACCCAATGTCCCATCTCGGGAGCAGATGGGGTGTCTGTCTGTGAGTCAGAAGGGTGCTTGACGAAGACTTACTGCAGACAAAGCCTTAGCTTAGCCTTTCCACAATACTGTCCGCATTCCGTCAGTGAGCTTTGATGCCAATCCAATAGTTCAGCAGGCAAGTCCTGCTTTTTATTGGCTAGCGCCAAGTCCTTTCTAAAGTTGATCCCATTTTTGGCAGGTTTGTGACAGCATAATGCAAGATATCATGATACCTCACCTCTTAGTTTATGAAAAAATGCATTAGTACGACGCTATGCATCCTTTCAATGGGGAATTCACCATAATTAATATGTCAAGAATGATTGCATTAAATGAAAGATACAACGAGAAGACTGGGAAAGATATCTGACATGGTAAGACTCACCAAATCTGGTGGCCATGCGGGAAGATTGAAAGTACGTCATAAACAAATTGGCCTGCTTTAACAGTTAAAACAAAAAAGCACAACATTTTCCACTTTTAAGCGCTAACAAAGGCCTCCATTCTGAAATAAAGTGGGTCATCTTTAACAAAGCCATATTTAGGCATCATCTAAATGTCAGGATATGTAAGGAACATCTGTTGATCTTTGTCAATTCTTGACCTTAAAATCTCCTCACAGAGGACAGCCCAGAAACAATGTACCTTTCATAATATACGACCTGCCATTGAGCAGGTCCATTTGTTAATGAAATAAAGATGCATGCCATGAAAAGAGCCCTTGGGTTTGGAGTAGCTACAGGATAAAGGTGCTGGACCCAGACTATCACCCTCAACGAAATGACATAATCAGCTTAGAGGTAATTCTTGGCATTGAGGAGATGAGATTGCAGGCGAATCCAGTGCAGCCATACAGTATAGCAAAACATATCTTCACCAGACCGACTCACCTCCACAGAGCATGTGGTGTTTTTCAAGTGCTAAGAGCATTAATACTTTTATTTGGACACACAAACACTCCTTGCCTGCTGGATAAAGGAAAAGAGACTTTCTGACAGATTCTGGGGGATGAACGCACTAGAGCTTGAGCTGAAGCCGACTGAAATGAATTTCGTTCTGCTTACTGTGAAATTCCATCATTTGTCCTGAATTTGCCCCGGTCTACCTTCATGTCCAAAAAAAGATACTGGCATGGGCGCATACAGTCAGTCAATTAATCTGCGTGTAAAGAGGGGATGGTATTAGGGACGGCTGCTCCTCACAGATCTTATTTTAGATTTTGTGTGTATCCATATACAGATTGCAATGCATCACCAACCATTACAAGCCATGACTGGGTGGTCATAGGATTTCTACAGTACATTTTAGATATACCGTATGGAAATATATTTCTTAATAACAAAAAAAGACTGATTTAATTTAATACGTTTATAGTCTTGTTTCCACTGAGTGTTTCAAAGTGAAGCCAGTGTTTTGTGTGTCAGTAGTAAAACACTTTATCTCTACATGTGAGATCAGCATGCATTTGGGAACGAAGCGGGCAAGAGTTATTTTCACATTAGCATAATTTCAAAACTTTTTGTGGGCAGATGATTAAAGCATTACAGCAACCCGTTTTCACAGAAATGGTAGTTTGGTAGAACTGCAGTTCACGTCAAAATAAAAGCTCAAGGGTTTATCTCTCGCAAGTCAAGAAGTTAGGACAACAGTATACTAATTTACCCACTGCAGCATAATGTAAACTAAAATGATATACCTATTAAATATATTTGCATTTGTTTAACAATACTATATATAGGCTATTTCTTTTTTAAACCATTATTATTATATTCTAATTGTTTGGCTTCCTATAACACCAGTGTGAATGTAATGTAGACACTATATCATGACTAAAGAGAGGGTCGATTCCCCTTTAAAGTCAATGCACAGACTTTTTTTTTTTTTGTTCAATTAGCAGACTGAACATGGGTTGGACCTCTTAATTTTGAATTCTCAAAGTGCACCAGATTGATGAATTTCATTTAAAAATAAAAATGTTTTCTTACGACCCCCAAGAAGGACAGAGTTCCAGCCCCCATATTCTCACAAAATCCTCTGGGAAACACTGTATGTACATTTAGCCGTAATCTTAATACAATACAGGATTGCATGACTGCATATCCACATAATCTAGGACCTTAAAAACAACAACAGTCACCAAATATGTCATGGAAATACAAGTTATCCAACATTCCTCAGGTCAAAATCGTCAATAAAATGTTGCTGGGTCACTCTCATGAAAACTTGGAGGACACGTCAAACAGCTTCAGATTTCTGACCCATAAAGCAGCTATGTGACGTGGCTTCTTTTTGTTTGTTTGTACATTTTCCTTTCTTATAAAAATGGGAAAGCAAATCAAACTGTGGCTGGATTCATGAAATTTTTCTAAAGAAGCGAAGAATTCTTTTAAGATAAGAATGTCCCAAAAAGGAATTCCAGAAAACTTCTTAAAGGGTTAGTTCACCCAAAAATGAAAATTAAGTCATTAATTACTCACCCCCATGCTGTACCAACCCCGTAAGACCTTCGTTCGTCTTCGGAACACAAATGAAGATATTTTTGATTAAATTTGAGAGCTGTATAACTCTCAAAAAAAATAAATAAATAAATAAATAACGAGTTTATACGACTATTTCTTTTCTTCCTTGTAGGCCAGAACGAGACTTCCTTATAGATTTCCACGACGCATGCGCGAGAATTGCGATCTGAAGTAGTGTAAGCTGGTGTAAGCAGATCGCAAATCTCGCGCATGCGTCGTGGAAATCTAAGGAAGTCTCGTTCTGGCCTACAAGGAAGAAAAGAAATAGTCGAATAAACTCGTTATTTTTGTTTGTTTTTTCGCACAAAAAGTATTCGCGTCGCTTGATAAACATATAGTTGAGCCACGGTAGTCACTTGGGATATTTAAACATTTTCTTCATTGACTTTTTGGGCCGTCAAGAGGCAGTCCCTTAGGAGCCAATGTGGTAGTTATACAGCTCTCAAATTTAATCAAAAATATCTTCATTTGTGTTCCGAAGACGAACGAAGGTCTTACGGGGTTGGTACAGCATGGGGGTGAGTAATTAATGACTTAATTTTCATTTTTGGGTGAACTAACCCAAAGAAGTTATCAGATATTTTTTTAAAGGGATATTTCACCCAAAAAAATAATTCTGTCATCATTTACTCACCCTCATTTTGTTCGAGAGACCATTATGAATTTCTTTCTTCTGCTGAACACAAAAGATATTTAGAAGAATATGGGTAACCAAACAGTAGATGGGCCCCATTGACTTCCATAGTATGGAAAGATAAATAAATCCTATGGAAGTCAAAATATCTCCTTTTATGTTCAGCAGAAGAAAGAAATTCTTCATACAGGTTTGGAACAACTTCAGGGTGAGTAAATGATGCCAGAATTGTCATTTTTTGGTTGAACTATCCTGGCTTTAGGAATAATTGTAATCTTAAGAATCTATTTTTCAAATCGCTTTAGCCTGGAAAACAAGAAATCAAACAGGTTAACCGAACCACCTGTTCCCAGATCGTGTCTGAACTACAAAAGGGTCCGACTGATCCTGACAGGTGCTGTGGATACTGGGAAGTGGATCATCTCCTGCAGTAGCGTTAACAGCTTAGCCATCTGGGAGAGTGGCACGTGCCTCATGTGTGAACATATCCTGCTAAATCCACCAAACAAGATGCAAAGTGTCTGCTGTGATATATACATACACAAAACAGAACGTCAGCTAGGCTGGTAAACCTTTTATGGATGCTGTCAGGAGACACAAAAACAGTCTAAGCACAGCGGAGACGTGACTTACAGCATGCTGCAAGGGAACAGAAAATCTAGGGCTCTCAAACGATTAATCGCGATTAATCGCATCCAAAATAAAAGTTTGTGTTTACATAATATATGTGGGTGCACTGTGTATAATTATTTTATATATATATAAATATACACACACATGCTTGTATATATTTAAGAAATATTTTCATGTATATATATATTTATATATACTTTATATTATATATAAATATAAATTTTTTATATGTAAATAATATTTTTTTCTTAAATATATAAAGAAAATAATTATACACAGTGCACCCACATATATTATGTAAACACAAACTTTTATTTTGGATGCGATTAATCGTATCTAGTTTATTCCGCACACATATACATATGTATATGCGAGCTGTCATTTCCCCCACTAAGTTTATTATTTTCAAATTACTAGGTAAACAATTTCATTAAAAAACTTTTATCCAAAACGACTTGCATGGCATTTAAGGCATGCATTTTCAATTCCATTCGTTCTCTAGGAATGAAGCCCATGTCCTTGGTATTCCTAACATCATGCTCAACTTGTATGAACTAACTATTTCTTTTAAGTATGGACCGAGGACCGTTCTTCTCGACTCGTGTTTCCTGAAATCCCGTGGTTACTGCGAAAAGCTACAATACTTTGAAAGAACTTGTGCTGGATAATGTAGTTAATTTAGTAGCATTGCTACTTTTAGTTAGTTTCTCCCCAACACTGCCTGCCAGTCCATTAGAGTCGCCACTGACCTTTGAGATGAGCTCATCGTGATTGGCGAGATGTGCCCGGCAGTGGATGCAGCTGTAGGTTCGGTGACAGTTGGGCAGGTAGGCCTGGAAAGTCTTTGACTTTGTCATCTTGACCATCTCACAGTCGTGGTTCTCTTCACTGGGTTCTTCTGGGCTGGCACTAGACGAGTTGCAGCTTTGCTGAACTTGCTGACAGAAGAAACACTGGAAGATGCAAGCAAAAGCCGTCGTTGTTGTGGAGTGGGTGTGTGGCACGCTCCACACAGACACCACAGGAGAAAATACGACCTGGAAATAGAAGGCAAGAAAAGGAGGATGGAGAAAGTCATTATTAATTGGCTTCTACTGAGCTATTAAAAGGTAGGGTAATCTCAAACTGACCTTTAGGACCCAAAAATCCTCATGATTTTCATCATTTACTCAACTCATGTCATTCCAAAACCCTATGACTGTCTTTCTGCTGTGGAACATAAAATGAGAAATTGCACTGGTTACTTTTCCATGCAATTATGATGAATGGGAATCAGAGCAAGGGCACCACAGAAGTAGCTGTAAGCTTCACAAAAACATTCTTTTGAGTCGGCTCTCATGTGATCCAGTTCACAAAATCAGTCAAGAATTGGACTGCTTTGGTTCTCTTGATCCGAATTCCCTTCATTTAGACTAACTCAATGATCCGTTGCAGTTAACAAAATTGAACTAGAAGGGTGGATGGATAACTACTTAAAATTCTGGTCTGTATGACTTCCGATGACTTTGAATACAGTTCACGAGTTATATTGTCCACATTTATGATAACTTTTTGGTACTCTTGCATGGAAGGAGTAACTATTAAATAATGACAGAGTCTTCCATTTTTGGGTTGTACTACTACTACTTACATTTGCATTTAGCAGATAATTTTACCCAAAGCGACTTACATGGCATTTAAGGTATGCATTTTCAATTCAATGTTCCCTAGCAATCAATCCCATGTCCTTGGTGTTCCTAAAGCCATCATCAACTTTTATGAACTAACTATTTATTTTAAGCATAAACAATTTGTCCTAGAATTGCAAAAAAATAGTATGCAAATGAGCAGCTCAAATCTGATAAAAGCAAAAGAAACAATTTCCTCTTCACCCCTGACAGTTTAAGCCTGATCAGCCGGTGAGACTGATGAAGTGTGAATAATAAAGATTTTCCCTCCAGCGACACCACATATTTAACATTCCCTTTTAGACAAGTTTTTTAAGGATGTCAAAAATGGCAGCTAGTTGCCCTGTGCACCAAGAGGACCAAGATAAGCTCTATTGCCACCGTGGGAAACACATCATCTATAACACAATAACATTCAAATCATCTTGATTTACCAGACTGCCCACTTTTTGCAGTGAATTAATTGTGGAAGGTTATTTATTTATACATCAATGATTTTAGCTACAGCACTTCCTTTAATTATCATGCAAAACCTTTGAACATGAACAAAGCTATCAAAGTACCATATTCGGAAGGAGAAATTATAAAGAATAATAATAATTAAAGGCATTTTAACACTTTTTTTTAAAGAAAAAAAAATTCTTTCATAATTTACTCACCCTCAAGTTGTTCCAAACCTGTATGAATTTCTTTCTTCTGTTAAACACAAAAGATATTCTGAAAAATGTCAGTAATCAAACAGTTGATGGACTTCCCTAGTATTTTCCCACATACTATTGAGGCCAATGAGGCTCATCAACTGTTTGGTTACCCATATTCTTTCAAATATTTTATTTTGTGTTCAGCAGAAGAAAGAAATGCATATAGATTTGGAACAATTTGATGGTGAGTAAATGATGACAGAATTTTCATTTTGGGGTGAACTATCCCTTTAAGACACTGGCCGATTTTAATGACTTTTCTAAAACAGCATCACTTTTTGACATTCATCATTCCATAGTTCCCATGCTGTGAACACAAACAATCAGAAAATAACAGGAAACTCAGTATAGTGCGCTAATGAGGGGGCAACAACACTGTATGCAAAAGAAAACAGTCACTTCCGCAATAGCACAGGAAGCTCCAACCATGCCGACCAACAAAGCGCGCGAGCTCTGGCGCCGATGGGTTGCCAGATCTTGCTAAAACATGCAACACACTCTGACTTACCTAAACCAAAATCAGTCTAATGATAATGAAGCAAACACATGCTGCTTTTGTTTTGCATAAAACATACATTATCAATACAAAATTCATTTTGACGCTAAAATGTCTTTTCGAGAACCAAATAATTTAAATGTTTCACATATTACAACTGAACCCCATAAATAAATCTCACTCGTGCGCACAGAGAAACTGAGGAAAGCAGAAACAGATGAAGAGGAGCTGTTCAATAATTACACAATACACTGGGATCTGTACAGCAAGTGGGGATATTTGACAACTGCTGCTATTATTGGTCGATCATACGTCATTGTTATGATATCAATGTTAAGCATGCAACTGCATTATGTTAACAATCCCTCAAAATAGCCCATAATATAAGCGACTTTACGTAAACAAAACACAAAGACGCTTACAATCAGCGGAGTTGGCAACACTCGCGCGTGCACGAAGACAAGACCTCGCGCAGCGCTCGATGTGGCACGCGTCTCGGTTGAAAAGAGAACTTTACCTGTTTACATTACATCTAAATATTCAATATCTACTAAATGATTGAATTTTTTTCATTTTACAAATCTATTAAATACATAAATATCCACGAAAATAATCTAGAGATTATTCCCTATATTTAATGTAATTCGCACGAATTATAATGTAGCCTAAAGACAAAAGCACTAACGTGTTTGCGCAAATTGCACGTCAAGCGTGCTTTTACAAAGACAAGTTAATTGGAAAGCACGCACACATCTGTAACATTGTAAAATGTGCGGAAAATGTGATAACTGTTCAGTTATAATATGTTTTATAACTGCTAACCCAGTTTTTAAATAAAACCAGAGGACGGTCGATCTGAAGGAAGATCAACAGCAGACAAACAAAGGAGACTCATGAGCGCGTGTTAACCTGACAGGATAAGGCTAATCATGAGTATGATGGCTTAAGATATAAGAAATATAACAAATCTAACCATTTAAAAGCTCGAATAGTCAAGTTAAGCTAATCACTTACAAATCTAAACAAGTTACTTATTCATTGCAACTTATTCCGCATACGCATGCGTCTCTTTTGTTTTACTTCCATGCAAACAAGGGACAAATAACAAAGCAAGATGTCCATAAAAGCAATTCAGTGCGCCAACAATAGGCAACCAGTTACAAAAGGTGCAAATTGATTGTTGTCAGCGGGATCTTTAGAGCAAACAACAAAGAAACCCTGAGACCAACGTGGATACAAAACAAAGGCTCGTGCGTTGACAAAACCAGGAAGCGCAGTGACAGACAACAATTTGAGTCTCGATATCTGCAAACACTAATGCCAACGATAATTTGTCAAAACCAAATACGACATTTGTGTTTTTGTACCGTACAATTAACTTACAAATCGCGTGCATGCACCCAACTCCACATTTTTGTCAAAGGCAGACGAGAGATTTAGACAAGGAAAGGTTTTGAGATTGTGTACATTTAACGTTACCAACAAGCGTTTTAAAACAATATTTGTGTCCTCACATATCAAATATAAAAGTATATTAGTGACATGAGCAGAAACTCGTCAACTTACCACTTGAACTGGATCTCAATGCGAAGTTTGGCATAGATTTTCTAAAGGGAAGCTGATGTTTTTTTCCACTCAACGTATGATTTGTGATGTTTTTTATTTATTTTTGGTTCTGGTTGTCTTGTCTCGGTGCAGGTTCCGTGCTGAGATCTCAAACGGAGACTATCTGACAGTTTTGTGTTTCGGTTAGGCTGTACATTTCTCTAGTCTTTGTTGCACTCTTTGTGTTTTGTGTGATAGACTTGCTGCTTTGTGAGTGGGCGGGGCGTCGCATTACTGGCGTGTAAAGCAGCCAATAGCGGGGCTGCGAGGGCGTGGCCATCAGTGAATCGAAAATAACCCCGGATGTGTAAATAAATACAATGCAACTCAACGATTATATAGGTTATGATGACTTCATCGTATCCATGTTTTGCATTATCCCCTGGCAGCTCTCAAAATGGAGAGCTGTATGCCCCAATGAAGAATAATTCAACGAAGTGTAGATTAGAATTTAAAAATTGAATTGAGTTAGATAATTGATTGAATAGCTCTGTTTGAGCCCTATAATGTCACTGACTCCTTTTTATTGTGATGCACCCACACACGCAAAGTCCACATGTAAAACATGCAATTCTTGTCAACGTATCAAGAGTCATCATAGAGCAATATTGCTTAATAAATGGTTTGGGACTTGTGTAAGGGTGGGATTCACAGCCTGGCAGGCAGCATTAAAGCAATGGCCCCATCTTTATGCGTCAGAGAGCATCTGCTACGCCTTATAAATAATAAGTGAAAAGTCTACCTAAAAATAAATGATGATCACAAAAAACAACCCAGTATCTTATTAAGTGTGCACAACTATAACGGCAGATGCAATGCATAAGGTAAAACTTACTATATTGACATGCATGTCATTGTCATTATATTCACGGACAGTGCGTTGTTTAAAGATAAATGACCCTTACCTATTGACACAGGCAGACAGACGCAGTGTTCCGACGATAATCAGTACTCATCGATAGTTTCAAAAGCGAACAGGAAGGCGTGGATACGTGCAACATTATCAAGTCTTCGGGTAAATAAGGAAGCCTGTCGCGTCGCCACCACTCTGTCCTGATGATGTCATATGTTTTCATTCTGCGTCCCATTTTATAACTCCGCGCCATAGTAACCCACAGTAAAGCTTTTCACACTGACTCAAGGCAATTATTATCCAGCTCACCAAATAAAATAAAAATACAGAGTGTTACGCTTGGCAGCGTCGTGTTTTAACTTGCTGCCTGCTGTGGGGAAATAAAAACACAGCACTCCAATGTGACCTTCGCCGAGGCACTTATGGAGTCCTCTTAAAGCAACTCACACATTCTGGTGTTTGCACTGGAAAATATCATCGAATTTATAAAGAAAACATGCCAAATGTTGCACGACGCAGAATGCGATACCTTTTAGGAGGATCGTGGATCAGTTGTTCTCCCCTCTGCAGGGTTTCTCATTCAGGAGCACTGCTGTGGTGTCCGCATGTGTCACGACGGTGCAAGATGCTGCTGCTGCTGCTGTTGTTGTTGTTGTTGTTGTTGTTTAGAGTCTTCTGTTCATATTTCTTTCGCTCCGACACTCTTCTCTGCGGATTTTTTGTTGTTGAATGAGACTGTGATGCGATCACGTACAAGGCTGAGGTCGCTATTGTGCGCTCCACGCTCACTAACGTTTACATCTGTCACGTCTTCATTCACAAATATTTTGCAAGCTAAACAAGCAACCGACCCTTTTTTAAAATAAATAAAAAAATAATAATCATAGTTTGGGAAAGCTCCATATGAATTTTAAAGAATGTAAATATTGCAGTTGCAATTTTAAATAATGCCACAAATGTTGCCAAGTTTTTTCACAGCTAAATGTAGGCTAATTATCCCATTTTAATAGAAAATCATCACACTAATTAAAAAAAAAAGAATCGGTTGAAGCATTGTGGTTCACTTAATTTAAATATACTGCGAAAAAGAGAAAATAAACTATAAAATTAATGACATAAATAGGCCTAATAAAAATAATTCTTTTGTTAAGCTAACTAATTATTTCGCATCTTGATAGTTTCTGATTTAACTAAAAGAGTAGGCCGAATACTGTTTCTGCTAGGGAGAATTTGAGGTAACAGCAAGTACATTTATGTGTGTCGGAAATAATAAGACACATTTATAAAAAGCTTTAAGATAATTTATTTAAGATTATTTTTGATGTCACCACTGAATGTTCTTATTAAATTTCCGTATTTCTTTCTTTAATAATTTCTGTATTTGTACACTTACTGACTGGCTGGGTAGAATTCGTTATGAACTTAAAAACACACCTCGTCATTTTGTTTTTGTTTTTATGGATTTGCATTTGTTTAATTTAAACGTTTCCCTCGAAAATATTTGAGAATACATGTTAATCATGACGGCATTCTCTTCCGCAGATATGACAACCAATCAGGTTGAGAATTATTTGTGTAAACCAATCAGCTGCCGAGACAGATCGCTCACAGAGCCAATCGCCGCAGGCTCCGCGCTCCAGACAAACACAGAGCCCGCGCTCACAGCATCTCGCTTGTTTTCGATAATGCGCGTTCACTGCAGAGGCACGTGCACGGCAGCGCGCTCCAGTCATAACACGTGGTTCAGGTAAACAGCGCAAAGGCCCGGATGTTGGTGCTATATTTGTCGTTTAAATCAAACAACAAGGTCATACGTTATAATGGAATATTTTTGTAACGATAATAATGATGTAGCTCTAGTGATTATTATTAGTGTCAGTATATAATATAACTGTTTGGCGAAATGGAAGTTGAGAACTGTCTCGAATAGGAATAAACGATACGTAAAATAAGCAAACGGTTCTCTCACCCGATCTAATTCACATTCTCCATCAGCAGTTGTTGTTTAGAAACTACGGTCAATAATACGCATAACTACGTAGAATGAAAACAAGTCTTTATTATTAGTTCAACTCTGTCGCCATCTCATGTACCAACACTGCAATTGCTACAAACGCTATAGACCATTTCACAAGATGTAAACAACACTGGTCCAGAAACACTTCCTGTTTCAGTTTGTAACTGTTTTCTTTATTTCACATGTAAAGAAAACATCTTAAAGATGTTTGTTTAACTTTTTGATTCAGTTTTAAATGTTCTGTTGGTTGTATTTTATCCCAGCTTTTATGTAGTGTTAAAAAACTGAAACAGGAAGTGCTTCTGGACCAGTGTTGTTTACATCTTGTGAAATGGTCTATACAGGCATTTCCGTTATAATCACAAAAATATTTTTTTCTAAACTGCAACGTATGATACTTATATTGAAAATAATATAATAATTATGATAATAATCATAATTATTATTATATAGTACTATTTTAGCTTACAGCATTACTTGAAGAACTGATTACGGACAAGACAGACATTTCTGTTCAATCAGGGACCTTAGCTTTTAGACTATTTTAGACTATTAATAAAAAACCAAAAAAGAAAGATCCCGTGAGGGACACATACACATAAAATACATAGGAAGCTATAGTATGATCATACATACAGCTCCCTGCTTATAATGTGTGAGAAAACTAATAATTATTTGCATTGTGAGAACTTACCCCATAATGTGACAACATGCCTCACTGTTTTACAAAATACTTTTTTGTATGAATTGTGACAACTCAGCATGCACTCATGTTTTACAGGAGGTATTTTCAATGAACAGCTTATTCTTCAATACATTTTATCGTAGTCAAGACAGATGTGAAATGAACCTCATTTTGAAAGTAAAAAGTGACAACTAGCCCCAGTTTCCCATATTTGTAATTGCCTACTGACAGTTGGCGGTTCAAATAAAGAACCTGCCATCAAGCATTAGTGTTGGATAAGGATATAGCACACATGATGAATTGTTATGTAATAATTCATGTGACATTCTCACAGGAAAGCCTTTCTCCTGCAGTGTGCTTGCATTCAAGAGCAGCCACAAGCACTGTTAGCTGAGGGTTAATGCAGAGACTCGTTTATTATCGAATGTCTAAATAGTTTTCATCAAGGTGCCACTGGTTGTCATGGATGGCTCTCACAGGAACCAAATCAGCCGCTCATGCTTGTTTCATTACAACACACTTTACCTTTTCTTATTCACTCAATCGCAAGTGCAAAGAGGAGCACTTCTGTTGCTGAGACAACCAAGACAACACAAAGGAATCAGAGTATTACTTCGCTGCCCTACAGACAACATGAACAATACCGGTACATCTTAACTCAGAATAGACTTGTTTGTTCTGTTTAATTAAAGGGATAGTTCACACAAAAATGGACATTCTGTCAGTAATAAACTCATCCTCACGTTGTATGGCCACCATGTATATAATGTACCCATCCTCTGATGGCTACTTTCAGCAGGATAACGAACCATGTCACAAAGCTCGAATCATTTCAAATTGGTTTCTTGAACATGACAATGAGTTCACTGTACTAAAATGGCCCCCCAGTCACCAGATCTCAACCCAATAGAGCATCTTTGGGATGTGGTGGAACGGGAGCTTCGTGCCCTGGATGTGCATCCCACAAATCTCCATCAACTGCAAGATGCTATCCTATCAATATGGGCCAACATTTCTAAAGAATGCTTTCAGCACCTTGTTGAATCAATGCCACGTAGAATTAAGGCAGTTCTGAAGACAACATTGGGTCAAACACAGTATTAGTATGGTGTTCCTAATAATCCTAGGTGAGTGTATATAATATCATGGATATATACTGCTTCAAATGTGTGAGAAAAATATTATATAGATGCATTGTTTCTGAAATTAGTTGCTTTTATTTGACATTGTACGAAAGCCAAAACAAATCTGAATTATTTTTTAAATTAATAGCATTTCTGTTTTCTACAGAATATAAGATTACTTTCAAGTCAATGCTGATTGCAGGTTCCCATTGTGACAACTTACCCCATAGTGTGACAACACGATTCTGATGTATCTGATATGTTCAACGCATTTTTATTAGACTTGAAGATTAGCCTATACACAGTCCAACACATGAAACTCTATAGCAGAAATATCAAGGAGACATGAGGCCAAAATATTACAATTGGTTTTATTCTGCTGTTTTTAGGTTACATGACTTGGCAGATGCAGAGATCACTCGGTAACGGACCTTGGCTGTCTTATTTCTTTTAGCAGTAAAAACAAGCCTCTGAGACATAATGCCACCTTTTTCAATAGAATCAAAAGTGTTTAATATATTTTTGAAATGTTTGTATAATCACAAGTTTCCCAAGTGACTTCACTGACACCTTCTAAAACTCATCCGAGGGTCCGAATCCTGGGAGTTTCGAAGCTTGTAAGTGAAATTCAACAACAAGAGTCAGTCGGCCATTGCTAACAAAAATGAGATTAATACAGACACATTTTTTATACAAGATTAATAATAAATCACTAGACAATCATTTTTTACAATAAAAACAGTTCGGCACAAAACTTTCAAGAACTGAAGGCAAAATGCAACAGGATCAAACAAAGTAGGGCAAAAATAGACAAACAAACCAATCACAAAAATCACAAAAGGTGTGACAAATAGGACTTAAAATTACACAGAGAATTGAGTTTTTTTGATTGTTTTTTTCACAGGTTTTTTAATATATATTTATGTATAAATGTATATATAGAAGTTCAAGAATATACCGCAAAAAAGTCACAACTGATCCCCAACAAAACAAAGCTGCACGATAAATGTATTCGTGATTCATAAAGGCACACAGAAACAGACAGGCTGCACACTGATTCGGCAGAAGCTATCTTACAGAGTTTTGCAAAAAAAAAATAATAATAATTATGTAACCATTTAAGATTATAGCCCATTCTCTCCTTGATCAACAAACATCTGATACCATCACTAGGTGGCTCCTTCCCAGATATAATAGGCGAAAGTACCGTGGAGTTAGTAAACCAAATAGAAAGCAAGTGTGGGAAAGAAACGCTTCGCAAAAGCCATGCACATGTGCGCACATCAGTATTAATAACTTAGTATACAAGACATCAAGAGGGCTCCACTTTCACAATCGCTCAAGTGCTATCTCGTGCACTAAATGCACATAAGTTTGCATTATAGCACATACAGTTCCAGGTAAACATTCTCTTTCATTTATCTGGGTCTAGCAGACCAGCAGAAAATATCTTATGCTTGAAATGGATTAATACAAGGTGCATTTTCATGGCTAGAGTCCCCTAATTTCCACATGGAATTAAACCTGACGTCCTGGTTGAGCTGGCTGATTTAGTTCATCTAAAAAGCTAATCTCGATTTTTTTTTTTTTTCAAACACTGAAAGGAACCTGGATTTTAACTCATTATACTCTATATTGGAAATATGAGACCACAAAAGGTTATAACAAAAACCTGAGAGTCCAATAGCGGAATCCCCAGCAGTGTGGCACTTCCATTTTCTTTGTATAGAAAGCTTTTTAACAGTCATGCAAGGGCACAGTCTTATTAATACAAGGCGGCTGGGGGGGGTGGACAGGGAAAGCAAAAAGACAAAGATATTTACAAAAAGAAAGAATGAATGAATGCAGATGAGCAGAGCAGGCACTGTACGTTTATAATAGAGAGACATCGATTGGAAATTTACCAGTTATGACTGAAAAAACACGAGATTGTTCTTTGTCCCTTGGCAGAAGTTCCTCTAAGCCTAGCTATTAAAGTCCAGTTCCTAAATGGACCTACGTGCATCTTTAGATTCAAAAACACCTGGATTTTGGGAAATACATTCACCTGCATAGCACTTTTTTGTTGTTGTCGCAGGTAATGTGGTCAACTTTTGGACACAAGTGATGTCGTGACATCTTCAAAGCGGCCTTTTTCTTTGGCTCTTGAGCAAATTGAACAGATTAGTCTCTTTTCTAAAGGTGATTAAGAGTTTATGATTGAGAATCATATGAACAATCTCTATATATTTATATATTCCATAACTGATTGTAACACAAAACAATGAGTTTTTAAGATTTAAGCAATTTTAAGGGGTTATTAGTAAATACATGTTTTTGCATTTATGAAAATATATTAAAGCCCTAAAAAGACACCTTGGCAAATTTAGAGCTCTGTGCACTTTGAGGAGACTGGCGATGCACAATGTGGATAAATGCTTGTACACTGCATATATATAATAATAGAGGAGATCTGAGCCCTCGTTCTCTCCCGGTTTGACCTCTGTGGGACTTCAAAATGGCTTACAGACACCTTAGAAAAGCAGCTTGTTGGAAATATTAACACGACACTACACGATCGTAGACGTTTCTTTTTATGCATCAGAGGACCGAGAGAAAAAGGGTTAATCGAGATGGGTCCATAAGCACACGCAGGCACACTTTCACACAGATAAGCAAGAAGAGAGAAGGATGAGATGCAGAGGAAGAGTGTGAGAGAAGCTCTACACATTTATTCCATTGTAATGAGATTTGAAGAAAGCAGGAGGGCGCAGGAGTCCATGTTTTCAAACGGGGTCAGATGAACTTTGAAGGCTGCCTGTAGGTTTCGGGTTTAGGAAAAGGAGGAGATAACGATGATGATGATGACCAAAAGAGGACCACAGCACACAGTGGTGTGGAGACAGAAGCATCAGCATGATCGAATCCAGACCAACACCTACAGACAGGAAAAAAAGGTTTAGTTATGGACGACTTTAGTTATGGGATACTTTGTCCTCATTACAGCGTAATTATATATTTAAGTTCCAACCGAGTAATATTAATTTACAGCATGTACTCACTAAAGGGTTGGGGTTTGGTTTAGTTGCACCAAACGTTATTATGCCTAATTTATAGTTATTTCTACATGTAACGTGTAACAAAGACACTGTGAAGCGTTCACCAAATTCCATCTGGGGTCCAAAACTGATGTTTGCAAAGTGCCAAAAAGGCTTTTCAGAGTAAATAAAACACATGAGCCGGTACTCTAGTATTCAAACGTTTGGGGTAAGTATGCAAGTAATCATATTAATAATATTCACTGTTTTGTAATCCAGGAAGTGTAAAAGGAACAGTCATCCGGAAACACTACACGTCTACTGACACACACATTTATTTATTTATTTTAATCACATTATAAATGTGTTTAACAGTTTAATGTCAGTAAGATTTGTTTTGTTTTTTTAAAAGAAATTTATGTTTTTACTCGGCAAGGATGCATTTAATTGATCAAAAAGTGGCAAATTTTACATTGTTCCAAATTATTTTTATTTCAAATAAACATTCTCTATTTTCTATTCATTTAATAATCTTGTATTATGGTTTCCACAACAATATTAAGCAGCGCAACTGAAATGTTTCTTGATCATCAAATCAGCATATTAGAATGATTTCTGGAGTTGAACATTCATCTTTGCATCATAGGAATAAACTACATTTTAAAATATAGTTGTAATAATATTTTAGAATATTACTTCTGGATCAAATAAATGCAACCTTAGTGAGCATAAGAGACTTTTCAAAGAGTCAGACTAAACATTTGAACAGTAGTGTACACTTCTTAAATTACAGTGCAAAGATATTTAGTCCTATCGGCGTGATACATGCATAGCATTGAAATGAATTTGCAAGTGTTGAACAAAAACTAAAAATCTTACATGTGTATCATTTAAGTCTTTAGAAATAGACAGAATGAAAATTCCTCTGGTTATTGGAATTGAATTAAATTATTGGATCCTTTGCACTTGTTCATGGTTATTTTCCAGGTATGGAAAATACACTCATCTTTCTTTCTTTCACTATGTGATCGATTCTTTTGTCCATTTAAAGGCATAGTTCACTTTGAAATTAATTTTTGATATGTTTTAGCTTACCTCAAGGGCATCCAAGATGTAGGTGTCTTTGATTCCGCAGTATTTTCAATTTTGATATTTTTAGGTCAAACCGTTCTTGTCTGTCAGTCATATAATGGAGGTCTATGGTCACCACCTCAAAGAGCATGCACAGAGAAGTCCAAATTAAACATAATTTAATGACTCGTAAATGCAAGTACACATTGATGGCCTAAGACACAAATTGAGCGGTTTGTGTGAGAAAACGAACAGTATTTATATCGTTTTTACCACTTGTAACCACAGCCACGTCCAAGTGATCTGAGGTCACGGGCGTTTCGGTCTGCGCAAGCGCCGGAAAGCGCGTGGCTATGGTTACAATAGGTAAAAACAACAAATACTGTTCGTTTTCTCATACAAACCACTCGCATCAATGTGTACTTACATTTACGAGTCATTAAATGATGTTTAATTTGGACTTCTCTGTGCATGCTCTTTGAGGTGGTGACCATAGACCTCCATTATATGACTGACAGACAAGAACGGTTTGACCTAAAAATATCAAAATTGAAAATACTGCGGAAACAAAGGCACCTACACCTTGGATGCCCTTGAGGTAAGCTAAAACATATCAAAAAATAAGTTCAAAGTGACACAAGCATTTGGCTTCAGCAAATATTCAGTTTACCTGAGCGCTAGGCTATGGTCTGAAGGCTAGTTGAAAGCGTGCAGTTTCTTGAAAGATCAGGTCTTTCAGGGTCTCTTTGGGCAAGTCATCCAGCTCCATTTCAAACGTAAACGGAGCCTCAGCAACAGGCTGTGAAGAAGAAATAAAGCATGGGATCATGGGATAAAATGCTTTAAACACAACTCTTTTGCTTAAACCTGCACAACAATATTATTCGCTAAAGCTGTTTTTCAGTATTGTTAGATAAAGTCCGATACACAAATAGCAAATGATATTCATCAAGTATAATGTTCAGTGCAGCTATTTCTGCAATAGGACGGGTGCTTAATAATTCCATGCAATAATGTAATTCGTAATGTTTTAATGTTATAGACAAAATAAGCATCAACAAAACTGCTGTTGTGAAAAAAGCACAAATACAGGAAATGTACTGATCACACATGACAAGGTAGCATCAGTAATCTTGCATTCATGCTTAAACCACCAATCACCTCTTAACAGACACTACAGATAGTCAAAGGTTATTGTGGTCATGTGGCTAATAAAGTGCACTAACCTTTGATCACCATAAACTCTAAGATATGAACAAGCGGAGAACATGATGAAACTAGTGTTCTTAAAAGCAAAGGACAGCAGAATATACGTTTTTATATTTATACTTTACTTAATTAAAGTCAGTCACCCAGAATCCCAAAACAACTGTGACCAGTAGGGGACATGTTTGGTTCGTGGCCACGATCTATTAACCCATAATATGCCAAGGCCACGATTTGTTAATTGGTGAGAAGGTCGTAATAACTCGTAGCCACGAGATCATTTTGTCAAGATAACGGCACCCTTATGTGATGTGAAGTCACGGCCTCAAGATCATATGTTGACGAGTTTAATGCATAAACAAACCTGTGTGACCATGACAACCTGGGATTATCAGAATTTGATATTAATAATAAATGAATGTAACACTTTATTTTAAGGTGACATAGTTAAATGTTACTACATGTACTTTCTATAGTAGAAACAGTAAATTATGCATGATTACAACAAGTAACTAACCGTAACTCTATAGTAAGTACAGGTAGTTGATTAATATTACTTATTCGAGTAAGTACAGTGTAACTACGTCACTTTAAAAGACAGTGTAACCTAAATTTATATTTTATTTTGAATTAAGAATAACAAAAAAAAGTGCGGCCTACCATTATATTACACTGCACTATTTTGCCTATATTCGAATAAGGTTTGTTATCATCAATAAATGTTAAAAGACATAAGAAAATAAAATAATAAAGACCTATAAGAAAAAAATATCCCAAATCTATCCCAAAGTCTTTTAAATCCATTAACAGATCGTTTCATTTGTAATATTTATATATTTATTTTTTAACTATTAACTAATATTGATATGTACTTAAGTTAGACCACTTGCCAATACCTGTATTTTCACTGCATTTGTCATTTTTAAATACATTGGTAATAGAAACCAATTATTTGGTTTTGCAATCATATTAGTTTGTTTAGCAATTACATATTTCCTTTAGTTATTTTCATGCATTATAATTGAAGCCTGCTAACATGTATTGTATGAGCTTATTACTTTCACTGTTCCTTTTATTGCTCTATCATATTTGATCTTTCATTAAAATTGCACAGCCCATATTTAGCACTTCTCCAGCAGGGCTCAGTGCAGAGGATTGGCCCAGCAGTTCAAATGTTTAGATACTAGTGAAATATCACAATTCTCTATTCCAATTTTGATACCACAGCAAAAAACTACTAGCCTAATTAATGTAAAGGTAAAACATTATTAAAGGAAGCAGTCAGTAATAAAATTAGAACAAATAATCAAATTACAAATAGCACAAATAAATACAACAGAACATGGAAATGATACAAAAAACACCTGTAAATGTTCTGTAATGATGTAGGGAACCACTGGTTATTCATAAATCACTTAACGGTTATGTTTTACATACATATACGATTTAGTTTCAAATTCAATCCAAATGACACAAGTGTGCTTGAGTGAACGATCAGGAATCAAGAGCCTGCAACGGAAGTGCTCTCTCTCTCTTTCTTTCTCTCTACCGTCAGTTAAAGTTAATAATACATGCCTCCTCGTTTTACTTTCTTTGCCATTGACATCCGACTGAACTACAAACTTCCCACTGATGTCTGTGAAAAAGTGGTACACTCGACAAGCTTGTGCGTATCCTTTTTTTCCTAAATACTTTTTAGAAAGATTAAACAATTGCTACTATCCTGCTGGAATTAAGAAAGGAAAGTAGTGGTGAACTGACCTCATCTGAGGGGTCATAGTACTGTTCCAGGTACGGGTGAGCAAGTGCCTCCTCTACCTCAATCCTCTTATGAGGGTTAAAGGTCAACATCTTATCCAACAGGTCCAACGCTACAAGAAAACAGAGCCAAATATTTACACAGCAATCAAACCCAAATATCACAGTTCGTTAAAAACAAATTAATTTGAATAAATGTTACTAAGCACACTTCTGCTAAGCTTTTAATTGTTATAACCAGAAATTCAAATGCTTGCAAGTCAATTGGGAGTATGCATGCTGGCATTTAAGGTGGATTTGCCTCCAAAACATGAGGACTAGTTTCCTTTAATCAATGTGTGTGGAGTTGAACTCTGACCTTTAGGATCTGCGTTAGGAAACAGGCGGTTCCAGGGCACTTTGCAGCGTACAGGAAGTGACAGCAAGTAATTCCTCGCCTTAATGTTGATGATGCAGTTGAGGTCCTCCTGAGTAGGGGAGCCCAAAATACCTACAGGACAAAGAAAAGACAAAACCAATTAGACTAAAGAGGGGGGAAAGGGCATAAGTAATCAAGAGGATAGAGCAAAAATGAGTATAGAAATTATGAAAATATAAACAAGGAGCTCAAGGAAATAAAAGCAAAAGAGAAAAGGGGAAGCACTCCTTCTTTCTTTCAGATGTGCTTAGTTTTGTTGCATCATTAGCTAAAACAACTGCAACTTTCACAACATCACTCTTAAAAGATTATCCTTTGTCTTTTGAAATATGAATTTGATATACTCTAATGTGTCTTTTCCTCGCCAAGGCAGTATTTATTTGTTCTAAAATACAGTAAAAATAATAATATTGTGAAATATTATTACAATTTAAAATAAAATACTTTCTATCTTCATATATTTTAAAATGTAATTTATTCCTATGATCAAAAGCTGAATTTTCAGCATCATTACTCCAGTATTCAGTGTCACATGACCCTTCAGAAATCACTCTAATATGCTGATTTGCTGCTCAGGAAACATTTTCGATTATTATCAATGTTGAAAACAGTTGTGCTGCCTAATGTTTTTGTGGAAAACGTAATATACTTTTTTCAAACGTTCAAAAGAACAACATTTATTTGACATAAAAATATATGATCAATTTAATGCTATAAAAGTATTAATTCCTTTATCTTTTTAGTGTACTATTTAAAAAAGCAAACATTCACAAAACCGCTTCCTGAGTCCAGTCACTCAGACCATTTATGAAAACTAAGCTACAAAAACGGTTCATTCTGCAGCACCATGAGCTCATTAACATAGAACTGCTCATGTTTACATAACTATTCAGTAGCAGTGATTGATGACAATGTGACACTACAACATGGAGGTTAGCCAATCATAAAGGAGGTCATTTGCATGTGGAAATCTAAGTATAGTAAGAAAATCAGCCTATAGTATTTCACTTGAAATGACTAAACAACAGTTGCTACATTTAATAACCCAACTACAAGATGACACTTATTTTTGGTTGCTGTGGACTCCGATTTGAATATATGCAAGAAAAATAAGTGTTCAGAGAATGAAAGACGGTACAATAACCCAGTGCGACAAGCTAATGTGCACTTGCGATCTAAATGAGGAAATAAGTAGCGTTATCAACAGGGAAACATCTGCTCACACAGGCCAGACGGTTCAAAGACACACATGTTAATGGGAGAAAGTGTTACTAACACAGATTGTCTCTTCAGGAGCCATCACTATGGGAAAACACACGTAGCAGCATGCACAACGTTATCAGCTCGTTGCAGGGTCAAAATCAACAGCATCTCTGACAGGAAACACTGAGTTTTTGAACTCATGCAACAGACGGAGAAAGGAAAAATAAAGAGAAGGGAAGCGACTGACATTGATGCGCTTCGTCTTGCAAGGGAAATGATGATTAAGCCTTCTTGGAGATAACCATCAAATGCTTATCTCAGTCTTACGGTGCAAAACTGACCACAATGCATCATGTTTCAACTCAGAGATGAATGGCCTATGCTGAGCTTTTGAAAAGCGCTCAATGTGTATCAATTATTCAGAGTGAGCATGATTTCCATTTCAGATAACATAAAAAAAAAGTATAAATATAAAAAAAAATAAAGTATATTTAGAAGAAGTATATTTAGAAGAGGAGCTTGATTTCGATTTACAAAATGTAGAGTATATGTCCCATGTGATTTAAGTACTCAGCTGAACCTCAGCAATACACATGAAAAGTTTGCAATTAGAGCTGCATGATTTGGTGGAAAATCTAATTGCAATTTTTTTAGATACAAATTGTGATTATGGTTTAAAATGCTTTATTTTTTAATTAGCTCCAGGTTTGCTGTGCTTGTCTGTAGGGCTGCACAATTTGGCTAAAAATGCACCAATATGACTCATTTAACTTTATTAAATAAAAAAAATAAGAAAAATTGAATTATTATAATTTATTTTTAGTCTTAATTTCTTCCACAGGGAGGCCTTAAAGCATCGCCTTTGTTGGCAACAGGTTTATAAATGCTAGATACCCAGGAAACCTATCGGTTAGAGTTCCTATTCATCTCAATGCAGTTTTGGAAGCGCATGACTTGAAATCTACAGCTTTTTGTGTTCCAAACAGCAATAAATGTCATGTGACTAAAGCCACTATAGTATACTTGCAGGAAAATGACATCATACACCCAACCCCTTTACTAGTGGCTATTCTGAGCTGTGACGTCAAACGCTGCATGCAGGGAAATATATAAAGTCCACCGGGATGTTTACCTAAGATGTGGTTAAGCTGGTCCAGATAGTGTTTCCCAGGGAAGATGGGTCTATTCGAAAGCATCTCAGCCAGAATACAACCAACCGACCATATATCAATGGACTTAGTGTAACCCTGAGAGAGAGACAAAAGTGTTTATAATGCATTTTTGGGGGTACATATAGTAATATGATATGGCAATCTAGGAAGTCTCATGGTACATGAATATTGCACCATATTTAAAATCATTAATTTATTTTTTGTGTGAACTATTCTTATAAGAAAAAAAAAACATTGTTCTAATTCAGGGTTTTAATCAGTAACTAAAAAAAAAAAAAAAATCTATGTAAAACATCTTGTTTTAACACTTTACAATACGGCCTCATATGTTAACATTAGTAAATGCATTTACTAACAATGAACAAATAATATTTTCACAGTATTCATGTTAGGTCTTAGTGCATTAACTAATAATATTAACAGATGCAACTTTTTATCTTTAAAGTGTATTAGTAATGCTAAGATTGTGTAGAGCTATGCTGTAGAATTATTAGTGTTCATTGTTAGTTCATGTTAACTAATGTAGTTATCTAATATTAACAAATGAAACCTTATTGTAAAGTGTTAGCAATTAAAATAAAGATGAAATAAAACTAAATATAAATATTAGATTACAACAAAACTTAGAAATGTTGTTTTGGCAAGTAACTGTAATACGTTTAAGTTCAAATACTAAAATGACTCACTGGAAAACATTAAAAATTACAAATAAGTTGGAAATATAAAAACTAATTAAAATGACAAAAAAAGCACACAACAAAAATTAAAAAAAAAATTAAACCTAAATGATATCTAAAAAATATAAAGATAAACGGCAACTTAAAATTTATAATAGTATACATGTCCTCTAACTAAGGATTTGTACATTAAAGGGATAGTTCACTTTTAAATTAATTTTTGATATGTTTTAGCTTACCTCAAGGGCATCCAAGATGTAGGTGTCTGTTTCCAAAGTATTTTCAATTTTGATATTTTTACATCAAACCGTTCTTGTTTGTTAGTCATATAATGGAGGTCTATGGTCACCACCTCAAAGAGCATGCACAGAGAAGTCCAAGTTAAACATGATTTAATGACTCGTAAATGTAAGTACACATTGATGGCCTAAGACACTAAACGAGCGGTTTGTGTGAGAAAACGAACAGTATTTATATCGTTTTTACCTCTTGTAATCACAGTCACTAGTAATTTGGACTTCTCTGTGCATGCTCTTTGAGGTGGTGACCATAGACCTCCATTATATGACTGACAGACAAGAACGGTTTGAGCTAAAAATATCAAAATTGAAAATACTGCGGAAACAATGGCCTTGAGGTAAGCTAAAACATATCAAAAATTAATTTTAAAGTGAACTATCCCTTTAAGTAATACTTCAGGAGAGAGAATATAAACACGTCAGTAATACTCAGACATTGCCAGACCTGAATTAATTTCTTACAAATGTAATGGCTGAACACCAAACTGCTGACTGACGGTCGCACAGAGCAACCAAACAAACGCTTGAGGCAACACCTCACCTTAGAATTGAGCATAATCTCTGGTGCGCGGTACCAGCGTGTAGCTACGTACTCCGTCAGGAAGCCGGTGTGGTCATGGTCTGGATCGGCCACCCGGGCGAGCCCAAAATCACAGATCTAAGATCATATGAGCAATAACAAAGAGGTTACAGACATATGTGAATATCCAAGCTGAGCCTGCTGTGAATTTAATTCAATAAAGGCAGGGCTGATGCCAAATGCGGGTGGATTTCAGCAGTAACTCAGTCACTCCTACTAGCTAGTTCAATTTGATTTATAAAATATACATTTTTCAATTGTTGTCTTTTAAAAGGCATCTGAAATAAAGTAAATGCAACTAACGTAGTATTTTTCAAAATATAGATTTCTCGATACTGAAAAACACTTATTACTCATTTTCCGCAGTTTTCTTGCTCTCTCATGATTCTCTCTGACAGCGAGTTGACACAAACCCGTCTCCCACTCATTTAACTTGTTTTGGATGAATATTGTTGCTGTTACAGGGCTTGAATTTCGGCATGAGATCGCACATAATTTTACTCAATCCCGCAGATTTTGTGCTCACACACACAATGCAGCACATAAAGCCGCGTCTCGGTACTAAATTGAATTCGTTTTCACTGCTTATTGCGATTAAACTGTCAAATACACACAAAACAATGTCAAAAAGCTGGGATTGGCGAGTATTCACGTAAACAGTCAGTTATGTTTAAGTGAATGAAACAGTTGAGAAAGAAAACGCACGTGTAACAAAAATTATTAGATAATGTTAAAAATATCTATATGGCAGTTTTTCCTCATGGTATAATGTCAAAATAGTGGCCAGTGAAAATGCTGAGTGGCTAGTAACTTTGTAATCCACAAGACACAGTGGTGTGTAGGCAAAAAAGTTAATGTCAAGCCCTGTTTAAGGGTGTTATTTTTCCTTTGTTAAATTACTTTCTCATACTATACAGCTATGTCTGAAACTGCAGAAAAGTCTAAAATGATTAACTTTTTTTTACATATAAAAAAATGTATGCATTTACATTTTTAAATGTTGTATGGACAAGCTGTTTTTTTAAATGGAATAGCGTCATATTTAACATTTACAGAAAATAATTTTAGTGAAATAGGAATTATGTGCTTTTTATACAAACAACAGGCATTCTGAGAACGTGTTCAATTCCATTTGGTGGCGCAGAAATGGCACACAACCTTTAAATGTGTTTAAAATGGCATGATGGCTTAGAACCGCATTGTGCTTCACCTTGAGGTCACAAGTAGTGTTGAGCAAAAGGTTAGATGGCTTCAGGTCTCGGTGGAGAACGTTTGCCGAGTGGATGTACTTCAGGCCGCGCAAGATCTGGTACAGGAAGTAACAGATGTGGTCATTGCTCAAGTGCTGCGTCTTCAACAGCTTGTATAAGTCTGTCTCCATCAGATCCTGTACAATGTAGCTATGGTTTGTCAATATCAAGGTCAAACACAAAGCTTGGGGTTCAGAAAAGGTTGCATAAGAACTGATAAAAGCTTTTTAGACAGTCTAAGTATGTGATCTCAGTATGGGTAGCCAGTTGAAGTAACATTACATTTAATGTGAGAATCTTCTGAACTTTAAATCTGAAAATGTTCTTACTTTCACCATACGCAACTTCTACAGATTAAGTCCCATCTATCTAAATGTTTTTCAAAAGGGTTTTTGGGGTTTTTATTTAATGTCTATAAGCTTTTAGATATCTACACCACTGCTCAAAAGTTTGGGGTCAGTCATTTTTTTTCTTTCTAAAACAGATTTAATGATGCGTTAAATTGATGAAAAGTGACAGTAAAGGCATTTAATGTTACAAAAAGATTTCTATTTCAAATAAATGCTGTTCTTTTGTTTAAGTAGCACAACTGATTCCAACATTGATAATATTAAGAAATTTTTTTGAGCAGCCAATCAGCATATTAGAATGATTTCTGAAGGATCATGTGACAGTGAAGCCTGGAGTAATGATGCTGAAAAACTTTGATCACATTAACATATTTTATTTTAAAATACAGTATATTAATATTCGTAAAATATATTATCCTTATGTTAAAATATAAAACACTCAAATTGTAATAATATTTTACTATATTACTATATTATTTTCGTATAACTCTAGTGTAAATATGCCAGTAAATCCTAAAATTTGACCTTTTTTATATATAAATACACGATTTATTCCTCAATCACTACAGAACTGGAATAGTCTTACAGAACAGAATCAGATTTCAATTAAACCGCTCACAAATCCCATGCCTACTAACAATGGGAAGTAATAAATCTTTGTTTATTTCAGGCTTTGACTAACTAAAAGCTCCTGGATATTTAAAAACACAACAACAAAAAGCACACGCCTTTCACCAGGATATAGAAGCACAAGAAAGAAAATTGTGTTTGTACTCCCTTCAACAGAAGTTCTGGCCTGAAGTGAATCACACAAGAACACCCCAGCGATTAGATCATACAAAACTACTCTCACTATACACACGCCTACCGACTATTGATTTCGGGCCTTAAATTAACTCTTTACTAGAGATTTTTGCATCGTCTCAGCCTACACAGCTGGAACACACTGCCCGTATTTTCAGCCTGAACATTCATATTCAAAAAGCTGAACTAAAAAAAATGGGTAACACTTTACTTGAAGGGGTGTGCATAAGACTGACATGGCACCTTTATAACCATGATATGACATATGTCTTGAAAATGAAGTAAGATTTATGCATGTTTATGGGAAATGTCATTAAATGTATTTCACTCAATAATGACATTTTGAATGCAAGTACATTGTTTAAGATGTCTTTGTTATAAAATCCTCACATAAACCATAACATCATAACCTGTCAGTGTCTTTGTCAGGACAACTTGAAATAAAATGAAGTTAAACTGTCATGTGGTTGGCTTTGACATTGGCTGTCATGAGGCCTTTATAACTGTGTCATGAATATTTTTTGTGACCTCAACTACAGTGGTACTAATTTAATTTGTCATTAAAAAGTTATAATGGGTTCATGACAGCCAATGTCAAAACCAACCACTTGACAGTTTAATGTAACGTTAACCAATAAAGCTAGGTGGTTTCTTAAGTTTGATAATTAATCATGTTTATGACAGGTTGTGTTGTCTTAGTAATGTCAATTTGTCATGACAAAGACATTGGTTTATGTCAAGGTGTCATCTCAAACAATGTCATATTTGCATTAAAAATGTCATAACTGAGCGACACTTAATGACAGTTGTCATAAACATGCATAAAACTTCCTTCATATTCATTACATATGTCATGGCATGATTATGAAGGTGTCATGTTAGTCTTATGCACACCCCTTCAAGTAAGAATAAGGTCTCATTTGTTAATGTATTATCTAACATGGACAAAGCATTAGCATACATTAGTTACTGTGTTTGCTAATCTTTGTTAACTTTAGTAAATAAAAATATATCTGTTCATTGTTTGTTCATGTAACTACTGTTAACAACTAAAACATTTGATTTTAATAATGTTGAAATTTACATTAAAGAATAATTAATGCTGTAGAAGTGTAGTTCATTTTTACTAATGTTAACTAATTATTGTAAAGTAAATTAGTGTACACTCAGCTGCTCTTTTTTTGCTCGTGCTGCAGTGCAAAGCGTTTTCAAAATCCTAAAACGTTGTTTATTTCCAGGTTAAAATAAAAAGGATACACGTCTTTCATCTGGTCGATGGTGGGTGTGCGGATGATGTCATTGATGCTGATGATGTTCTCGTGCTTGAAGCGGAGCAGGATCTTAATCTCACGGAGTGTGCGCTGACAGTACGTCTGGTGCTCAAACGGACTGATCTTCTTTATCGCCACACGCACTTTATTGTCACGATCATACGCTGAGCTGAAAAGAAGCAAAAGTGGAGACATCTTCAGATCAAGCATCTTTTTTCTTAAACTGGGTTCACACTGTACAACTAATAATAGTCCTAAACGACTGTTGCTTGTCAGACTGTACGAACATGATCCCCGCTGTAAGCCATGTCACACTGTAGGATCACAGTCGGACTGTATGCGTTTGTTGTCAGATAATCCTTGACGATTTCAGTGATGTGAGCTGCATTTACATACGCCATAGAAATGGTGGCTTGCAAACAAAAACGATCTCTAGCACTAATTTTAAATTGTGTCTTGAAAAGAAAAAAATAAGCAAAGTGGAGCAAGTTTGTCGTTGTCTCGCTTATTGCATCATCAGGTTCTGGTTTAGTATTTGACGGTTTTCTTAGGGAGAAGTGAAGCCACAATGCAAGACAATGGGTCAAAACTTCTGACACTGGCACAATTTCATCTAAGGTCAAATTTAAATTTGACTTCAGATTTTGACCTAGGATCCGGGGAATATTTCAACATTTGTCTCAGACAGGCAAATCATGGCCAATATAGTACAGTGTGAATCCGGCTTTAGTTACAAAACATAATAGCTCATTCATCAGAGAATAAAAGACTACTGCACAAAAAATATAACACCAAGTGTCAAGTACACTATATAAGAGGTGTAATACAGTGGAAAAGACAATGTGAACATAGATGACTTTTCAATTGTGGGCACTTCTGCTTCTGCACACTTTTAGAAAAGTTTCTTTAAAACAGTTACACAATGTACTGTAAATGTGGACAAAGGGTCGTGGTGGAAGTTATGTTTGAAGGATTGAAGAATGATCAAAACGTGTGTAAAACAAACAAAAAAAAGATTCACGAAATACATATTTCAAAAAATGGCTTGTGATTTTGTTGTGATCTGTTGTGATTTATCATATCATCATTTTTTTTAAAGTACAAATATTAGTAGTACAAATAATAATAGTACAAAAGCTTCCAAGACAGTTATGACCTTAATATTATGTATAAAATTAAAAATCTAAAATTTACAATTAAAAAAATGTAATAGATAAATCAAACAAACATTCAGATACAGACTTTAGATTTATCATGTTTTAAAAACGTAAAATTATTCTAATGACACATTTTCATATTTTGAGCATTTAAGAAGTAAGAAGACATAATATATAATATTTTCAAAAAGAATAGTAATAATAATATATTTAATGAATAGTTAACATTGTTAGCATTTGACAAGATGCACAAAAAAAAACACAAATGTTAAAAAAACAAACATTTACAAGACAGTTTTAATGTGACTTAAGTTACCCAACTAAAGTTTTCAAAAAGAATAATGATGATAATATTAATGATGGATTTTTATTATTAAAAAAAAAAACACCTTGCATCATTTTTTTAAATTAGACCATATAAAAGAACAATTATTACAGCTATTTAAAGTTAGTAATAGTTCAAATAAATAAATAATTGATTTTCCAGTCAATCACCCCTAACCTTTAGCTAGACATGGCTTTGCGTGCGTCACTCTTCTCACATGGGCTTCATGAATGCTAAGAATTTGAAGATTCAATCTCATCTTCATCGTAACCATGACCTGATTCAAATGGTTTCTCCTAACTCTAAGTACTGCTGACACATTGTTAATGCCAAATCTGTGTCAGGTGCACCGATAATGCAACATCTGCACCATTTTCTCTCGCACAGCAGAAACATGGTCAAGCAGGTCACAATTTATTGTGGAACGGCTGTATTTAAACTGGCATTTTTCACACCATGGCTCAATATGCTTGGAGTTTTTTTTTGTTTTTTGTTGTAGTTGCAGATTTCGATCTTGACAAGTGTAAAGTTCACGGATCGAGCATCTGGCTGGCACTGTACACACCACACTCTAAAAGGCAGAAAGTGGAGAAATTACGCAGCGGTTAAGAAAGACCATAAAAGAGAGAGAGAAGCAGAGATTGAGAGACATAGCAAGACAGCAAGAAAAAGGGAGAGAGGAATGGTTTCCACGGAGATGGACAGGCGAGACTTTGTGGTTAGGAGTTATGCAACAGGCTGTTGCCATGGTAATGTGAAGGAGGTGGGCGGAGACAGGCTGAACGTTCGTAGTGAATTTACACAATGCTCTGACAATGCCAGATACCCTTGGTGCTAAAGAGGAGGGGGAAAAAGACGCTCCAATGGCGTGCTGTCATGCCACCAAATAATAAAGATGTCTATAAATAAAGCAGGGTCTGCGTGGAAACTGTGGAGGGGAATGACTGCTGCATGTGAAGATCTTGAAGACTGAAAATCAGCACAAACTCTCTGTGAGGTGTAGCTGAAGGTCTATTTGAAACAACTGGATAAGGCGGCAAAGCCACTCAAAAAGACTTTAGTATAACTGTTTTAACTTATGAACGGTGTGATTTGCGTAAATTTCAAGTTCAGATTTTCTTTAATCATAATAACAATAATAATAATTAATTCATTTGACTCTTCCAATTATTTCCATCTTGACTTCATCACGATTGTTCAACAAGCACATTTCTTTGCCCAAAATTCTCATTAACATAATAGGGCCAAAAGTTTTTTTAATCATATTTTTAAAAAATGAAATCAGAAATCAGATGATGTTAAAGGCAGTACAACAAACATTACAATACATAAATACCAGGGCTACCCCTGACTAAAGATTTTTCTAGTCGACTAATAGTAATTTAAGCCGTTAGTTGACTAATCGCACGTTTATATTAATTGAATTACTTAAATACTGGGGAGGAATACTAAACCTTTAATATAGGCGTAACATGCCTATTCCGAGCTCAAGCGAATGCATAGCTTGCATAGCACCGGCAAAAGTTGCGAATGATTATAAATGTGTCGGAAAAATAGCAAGGAAACATTGAAATTATTTAATAAACTAGTGTTTTCTGAGTCAGTGTCGGCTGCAAAGATGAAATTGACGATGCTGATCATCTCCGCAGTATAGTGGACGAGCCTTTAGAGAGAAATGCACCTTTCATACGGATTACATTACATAATCAGAGTATTTGTTTTCCATTTGAATTAGTTCATTCAAAAGTAGACATTTCTATAGATAGGCCTATATTTTTCATGTTTGTGACGCAAGTAGCCTAGTTTCGTTTTATTTTTGTGAGGCGCTTCAGTTAGGCAGAAAGAGCATATTCTTTTCGTATTCACTTTACAAAAGCACAACATTTTGCTATTGCGGGTTTACACAAATAAAAGTAGACCCTCTACGTTGTGAATGATTTATTACTCTCATCTGTATGACCAAAAATTATGGAGTATTTTAAGTTGTTTCGCTGTTATCAGGAAAAAACGCAAGTGATCGCGCCGGCTAATACATTAGCTTCAACACTCTGCACAAACACATAGATATGTGCTTAATAGTATAGCACACATTTTAAGTTAACGTTAGAGCGAGTAGCCAAGTTAAGTTGCTACTACTTTAGGCAGTTAAATAAACAATAATTAAATGAATATATAAGCCATTAAAATATTTTGCATTGTGACATTTTTCATACCTATAAGGCACATTTTTTCACCCCAATTTCTCATTACCATAACGGGTTCAGAAGATGTCGTTTAGTCAAAATATTCAATATTTTATTCGAATAAAATTACCAGACGTTAAAGGCAGTACAACAAATATTACAATGCATAAATACTTCATAATTTAATGTGGAGGTTTTTTTTCCACATTCGAGTAATGAGAATGAGATAAGTTGCATTACGGTAATGAGAACTGGGAGGAATGTGTTTTATTTCATATCAAAATAAAATATAATGGATAAATTAATAAATAACAATAATCATAATGACAAAAAGTTAATTTATTGATTGTAGTTATTTCTTACAGTAATGAGAATGAGATCATTTGCATTACATTAATGAGAACTGGGAGTGTATGTATTTTACTGTCATTAAAAAAAAACGTCATATAGTATCCAAACCCTAAAAAATTAAATTACTTTCATTTGGTTTTTGGGGTGAAACACAGTTGCTCTGTGTCATGACAAGATTCACCCATTTAGATGTGTTATGCAATATGGCATTATATATGTGTTTTCAATGCCTATTTGTGGACTCATAAGATCCCTTTTAGCATGCTTCTCCAAATGCATCAAGAAAACAGAGATGCTTCTATTTCAATGCACCTTCTGAGGGTGAAGGCGCTTCTAAATCTCGTCGAAATGGGGCCGGGACACCACAAGGCTGGATAATCCTTTCTTTTCTGTTCCTAACCTAGAACGCCTGCACATTTACAGCTGTGCCAATAAAAAGCTTTTCACATTCTATAAACCAGAAAATCTTAAAGACATTAACTAGTTTGAATGTTTCACCATTCTTTGGAGACTGAACAAGCGGATCAAACAGGCCTTACTTCACAAAACTAGCTTTTTACATTTGAAGAAGGAAATGTGAGGGGAGTTTGCCAGGGGAAAAGTCATCACCGCGATGCAACAGGTTCAATGGGGTTCTAAATAGAATCCTAGGGTTCTTGATTCAATTTCAAAGATTCAAAATAAAAAAACAAATTCAATTAATTAAAACTAAATCCATAAAATAATCCCATTGGAAAATGTATGAAGCGCCAGACAGAACACTTAAGGTTCTATATTAAGGGCCAGATTTACTAAACAGGGCAAATTAGCATGAGAGCGCAAAACCATAAAAACTCAGAAGGGAGTGGAAAGTTCTGAGCGTGATCCACTGACGACGTGCAAAATTAAAGAAGTTGAACACAGGTTTAGCTTTTTTGGGGGGCAGTAAATAACGGTGCAAATACCAGTAAAATTGACAAGCACAAACCTTAGTAAATCACCTTGCATGATTCATTTAAGTAGTTTCCGCCCATGCATTAACGTCAGCCGCAAAAATAAACCTGTCCGCATTTTTTAAATGTGTGTCTTTAGTAAATCCTGACAGTAGTTTTTTAATGGCAAAAGAAGGTTTGTGCTGTGCCCAAAGTGTTTCTATATTAAGCCATTACTAGAA